TGTAGAAGTCAATGACTCAAAAAAAAAAATAAAAAAACAAAATTAAAACAATGGGACATTACAAGGAACATTAGAGAAGGATAAATTAAAAGCTACTAACCTTGTTGTAGTTGAGCTGCTTGTACGGATTTTATAAGAGCCTGTTTATGAGAATGGCACAAGATACTGATCAAATCTGTTGCACCAAGTTTAAATTAAAATAACAATACGGATGAGAAAGAAGACGAACCTCGTAAAGATAAACTTTTTTCTGCTTCAAAACCATGAAATGGGCTCTCAAAGCCAATTACTTCACTCAGTTTGACAGTGACCTTGTTCGCTTCTTCGTATCTCTCCTGTACATGTAATTAAGGATGCTTAAATACGTCGATCCAAACATGCTCCAAGTCATGTTCATGTCAGAGAGGAGTAGTAGTACCTGAGACAAGAACAACTCAATGAGCGCCATTAACAGATTACCTTCTGCTGTGCTGCCCGCCCAGTGTCCCCATTCATTACGCATGATTTCTTCAGCTCGTTCTGGATGTTCCTTTGATAGAGCCATTGCATAAAGCTACACACACACGCAATTATATTATTGCACACATATTTCCTACTTTGACTTCTAATAATAATTGATTAGTACGTTAGAAAGTTATGAACCTTCAGGGCTTCAATTTGATTGCGGTCAGGCTCGCGTCCGAAAACGAAGTTCTTGTTTGGGCTCGTCATAATTTCATGCAACGCACCCATCACAGAACCTTCGGCATTGTAGGGATATTGGCCAGGACTGGCCATGGTTGTCTTGGGGTTCATCATCTTACCATTGGGACTGAAAGCCCCAAGAACACCGGCCATGGATAGAAAAACTCCTTCCACTCCTCTCACTAAATTGTTCTTCCCTCTCTCCTCTCCATTCATATTGGACCACTCCGAGAAGGCGTCGAGATTGCAGTTCATCTGTAATGGACTTGCAACAAAGTGGCTTCGTTTGGAACTCTGGGAAACATTAAGAGAGCCATAGGTTAAGCTGACTTGCAGCGGAGAGGCTACCTGAAGCCACCTGCAGCCGCAGAGGGCTTAGGCTGTGATAAGCCGCTGAGTTCATCTTGTGGGAAGATTATACAGAAGACAGTGGCTTTCTTTTTCTTAATTCAGTTGTGCTTAAATATCTGAATTTTGTGTGAAATCCTTTTTTTGGAATGAAGCTAGTTATAACATATTACTTGGCTGATTTCTACCCACAATCAGCTTTTACAGTTGAGCAGCAGAGTGGTTTTTCTTCGTGTTATGATTTAATGAAAGGGCTTGAAAAGTAAATATCTAAAAATACTTCTCTGCTTAGGTCACGTTTATTCTCATTTCAGGGCATAAACCTTTCCTTAAAGTCGGAGATTTCTCGCAGCAAAATTGGAGGATTCACCCAGTGAATGTAAATTGCTTTACCCGTCTGCCTTCAGATTCCTCATTAAAAATGCGATATGAGATACATTTACTTTCATAATTCAACCTAGTATGCTCCAGCATATCATGATTGTTGGAATATTTATAATTTGTGGGTTTTCATTAATTAATTAATTGACAAATTATAAGTTTATGCAATTAATTTAACTAGAAATTACAACCGTGCAGGACATTAACTCTCTCCTTGATTTTAGGGAAATGGATGATAGAATGTAGGAGATATTTTAATGATTTCAATTAAAAAAAAGATAGAAGAATATAGCTAATAGTATAAAAATGTAATTAATATCTCATCAAATGAGTTATGATAAGAGCCAACAAATTTTTTTAAAAGGAACCCTATAATAGGAAGTGTAAAATAAAAGTATAATTGAAAAATACATAAATTACACCCAATACCTTAATTTTCAGGCCACGCGAGTTTCTTAGAAATGTCACATATATATATATATACTATGATGCAAGGGGAGTACATATTAAAAACTTTTACATGTTCATTTTTTTCACCATGACCTCACATGGCCCACAGCAAATATTTTTTAATGTAGACCCCACAACTCTCACTTCTCCTGGCTATATGAATTTTTAAAAAAATTTAAAAAATGTCAAAATGATACTGTAGAACTACAATACCATCAATTACAATAGATAAAGATTAATTATCAAATGCAGATTTACTTGATACAAGGACCATTTGTTTTAGCTTATTTTATAAAAAAAATCACTTATTTTTTTTTTGAAAAAATATCTATTTTTGAGTTTTTATTTTGCTTGTTTTAAGAAATTATAACTTTTGAAAATAATTTAATATGATAGATTATAAAAAGTGTTTTAAAGAAGTGGGATATATAAAAATATCATAAAATTTTAAAATAATATAATAATAAATTATTTTTATAAAATAAAAATTAAGGAAGATACAATACAAGTTAAATATAACTAATTAATAATTATTTTTATTATTGTAATCAAATATAAAATAATGTCTGTTTTTTATAAAATCTTTAAAAAATATTTTTTTATAAAATCTCTAAAATATCAAACATAAAGGTGACTGATTTATTCTAATTGAGATCTGGAGATGATTGCATTGGCCTTGCAGATTTCATGGCGAAAAGTGGTCATCATCATGCCGATTTTGAAAACCATTCTGATTAAGGAGGTTCCCCGAGTTAGTTGAGGGATTTTTCTCGATGACATCAATAGGTTTTGTTTGCCCGAAGATGACATTAATAGGATTAGTCAGACTTTTTTAACTGTCTTTTCCTTTATATTTCCCAAAAAACAAAAAAAAGACAAGAAGATCGCCTTCCACTAAAAATTTTATGGGTCATCAAATTCTGATATACTTAAAAAAAAAAAAAGGCAAGCAATAATGGTCATGTCATTAAGTACACTGATGAAGCAGAGTGCATTTCTTAGACTGGGGTCTCCAAATTTTTTTTCCGATAAAATCATATACAAACACGCCCCCCCCCCCCCTATATATGTGTGTGTATTAATGATATTGATCATATTAATAAATCATATTGTAAAAAGTAAAGAGCAGGTATGTATGATGATGATATTTGTATTTTATCCCCGGAAAACTGCAGCATGAGGGATTGCAAAGGGGCCCATTTTCGGTGCTCAACAAGCAATGCTCATCACCCAATTTTAATTTTATAAAAATAAAAATAAAATTTTTTTATAAATATATTCATCATCAATTTAAATAACATTTATTTAATCTGAGACTCTAAGTAATTTAATTTAATATTATAATTTTTATAAATTAATTATCTAAATATACCCTGGATAAAACAGATTCAATATTAAATTTCTAATAATATTTTATTTTAATAAATATAAAATTAAAATAAAAATAAAAATTTTAAATCTAGACCTTGCAGATAAAAATTTAAAATTAAATTTGGATTATCTGAAGTACATCTGAATAGTCAATTTATGAAAATTATTATATTAAATTGAATCATCTTGATTAAATTAATACTGTTCAGATTGATGATGAATGTATTTATAAAAAAAGTTACAAATTTTTATTTTTATAAATATAAAATTAAATTAAAATTTAAAAAATCTAGACCATCACTTCATCCCATTAATTTAATTTTTGTTTTAATTATGAATGACGTGACTTATTTTTTAACTTCAAAACCTTTTTGGCTATCGGAGAGTGAATGAGTGAGAGCAGACCCCTGAAGTAGATGAAAATTTTCCTCGGGCACACTGGCCATCTTGTTCTTTTGAATCTGGTGGGGATCATTCACATTAATAATGATGATCATAAAAAATAATTTGAATAATTTTTTTAACAATGCACCTATAATGAAATATATTTAAAAATTTTAAATTTTAAAATTAGATATTAATACCATACACTCAAAATTATGACATCTTATAATTTTATAAAATAATTGAATATTTATACATGTGCATGCCTTAAAGACTTTTTTTAGCTGGGGTACATATATAAAATATTATTAAATAAATAAGTCTAAATATTTAATATTACTGGAACATAAAAATTTAGAATTATAAAACTAATCAGCATCATAACAAAATAAAAATTTAATCAATTTAATAATATAAAAATGTGAAATGTGAATCTTAATTTTTTTTTGGATAAATATAAGTGTTTAAATGATTTTTTAAGTAAAATTTATGCTAAAGAGGGGGCATTTGGATTGAAAAAAAAATATCTACACTATGATTTAATAGTTAACTAATGGTTGGATGGGTAGATGGAAGTAGAATCTTAAAATTAGAAGAAAAATTCATGTAAAATATATTTTGATTGTAAAGAAAGTCTATATAGATTTTTAAAATAGAAGGAATGTCTTTGTAATTTAGATTAAATAGAGGAAAGGTTAATATATTTTACTCTTATTTTAATTAATGGGATACTTTTGGCAGAGTTAATTAAAGGACGTGTTATCTATACTAGAACAAATGGGTCTGAAAGTTCCACTTCCACCAGACAGAGCTAATTTACATTTTTAACCAATTTCTTGAATTAATTGACACATATATATTTAATATTTATAACTAAGTAACTAACGTCTAATATTTGACTGAAGGTAAATATTCATAAAAGTATGTGATGGTTTATTCCCATACTTTTCTTTTTAACTTTTTAAGGGCTAAAGTATAACTCTTCGAAAATGGATCAAAAACTTAAATAGCCGAATTCTTTTGGAGAGCGGCCGACCCATCAATTTGGGCATCCTTGTTTATCCAAATAAGAACTTGAGCAGTGCCCCTATATATATTTTTTCGTAAAAGAATTAGTCCTTGAAATTATGGTCAATGTTCTTGGATCGAATTGACGTGGTGTTATATGATAATAATGTTTGATAACTATATCAACATTGACTAAACTCAAGTTTGGAAATTGGACCAAACTTGAATAGCATCGTTGATATGCCTAACACAAGCATGCATGTTGGGAGTACAAAAATCCGTCAGAGTCAATAATGATCATGCCAGACACCCACGAAGCAAAGTGCATTATATATAGGTTTGACTGAAGCAATGTCTCAATCACTCTTTCATTCCATTTTTTTTTATATATATAAAACAAACACCCCCCCCCCCAACAAAGGAAATATTAATGATACGTATCATATTAATAAATCATGATGTAAAAAGTGAAAAAAGCACATATGAATGTATGATGATGACATTTGAATTTTATGGCTTGCGAAGTCGTGGGTCATGATGCGGTGAAGTCTCCTCCGAAGCTTTGCGCTGGTATTCTTCCCAGGATGCTGCTGCCTTTGTTATGTCAGCTTCAGATTCTGCCATAGCCTGTCATACCACTCACAAGCAACCCAAATGTATCAGATCCTTTACATCTCCATCTCACGTTCTTACTGTATTTCATCCTTCATGACATGATGCAGGATTAAATAATAATTTTATCATTAAATTAAAGTTCCATGAGCTTTTATTACCAAAATTTATTTTTAATGTAATATTTTCCTTCAATGTTTAAAAGCAATGCAATATCATCACTATTACTAATAAATATTAACTTTAATTATCAATTGATTAGAAAATTATACAAAATGATATTACAAAAAATGATATCAAGAACTACAAAAAGGACAACAAATTATAAATTTTTATATGGTACTTATTTATAATTTTTTGAGTCATTTTCAAGTTATTCTACGTAATTTTTGACCATCTAAATGTCAAAATTAATTTTTATTAACGATAAGGATAATATTGCACTGTTTTTAAATATTTAAGAGAAATAATATACCAAAAATGAGTTAGACTTTTAGACACACTTGAATTTATAATTTAAGAGTAAAATTATCCTTTAACCTAAACATGTACTCCCTCCATCCCTATATATAAAATATTTTCAAAAAGCTTATTTTGTCCCTAAATATAAGAGGTGACAATAATATTTTTGAGTAATTAGATAATTTTACCCTAGTCTTGAAAAATAAAATAGATAATTAATTATATATTTTTTCTACAACCATCATGATATTAATTATGATATTATTAAAAGTAAAACTGAAAAAGTTATTTTGTTTTTACGTGAGTTCAACCAAATAAAAAACATTTATTGTTATGCAAAACTCGATTAAAAACACATTATATATAAGACGGAGGGAGTAATTCAATTATTTATAAATTTCGAATATCATGACTTAGTTTTTGAATTTCAAGGTATTTTTAACTGTAAGAGGGAGAGGGAGAGGACAAACCTTGAGAAAATAAACCTTTTCCTCCGGCACACTGGCCATCTGGTGGGATCATTCACATTGAACAACAATAATAAAAGAATCATTTAATTAAATGAACAAGTTATTGATGGAATAACAACCACTGGTCTAGAGCGAAAGTAGTCCACTTACATCCTTCATTAGGTCCTGAATGGTTTCTTTCGCTTCCTGGTATTTCCCCTGTTCATCAAGAGAGTAGGAGTTAAAGCTTAAGAATTAAAATTATGAAGGAGATTAAAATTAATGCCATTATACCTATGTATATCTTCTATGTATCAATTTGGCACTTTTCAAATATGAAATTTGGTATCAAAACCATGGTTGTCAAAACGCAGAGAACATTTGGCCAAAAACAAAACAAGAAAACAAAACGCAGAGAACAGAGCTATAGCAGTACCTGAGACAAGAGCAACTCGATGAGCGCCATTAACAGATTACCTTCTGCTTCTCTGCCCGCCCAGCGTTCTCGTTCTTTACGCATGATTTCTACAGCTCGTTCTGGATCTTTCGTTGATAGAGTCATTGCATAAAACTACACACACACGCAATTATATTATTGCGCACATATTTCCTACTTTGACTTCTAATAATAATGGGAGAATCAGAGAGAGTCTCTCTTAAGAAAATTAATCACAAATAACAACTAACAATAAGTCTCACTCAGAAAAAAAAAAAATCGTGTTTTCATTTTAACAACAATTCATTCCACGATCCTCATCTATGATTAATTCTTTTAAAAGGGCCGGCTGTATTTCTCCCAATAATAATTGATTAGTATGCTAGAAAGTTATGAACCTTCAGCTCTTCAATTTGATTGCGGTTAGGCTCGCCTCCGAAAACAAAGTTCTTGTTTCGGTTCGTCATCATTTCTTGCAACACACCCATTAGAGGACCTTCGGCATTGTGAGGATACTGGCCAGAACAGGCCATGATGGGCTTGGAGTTCATCATCTTACCATTGGGACTGAACGCCCCAAGAACACCGGCCATCGATAGCGAAGCTCCTCCCACTCCTCTCACCAAATTGTTCTTCCCTCTCTCCTCTCCATTCATATTGGACCACTCCGAGAAGGCGTGGAGCTTGCAGTTCATCTGTAATGGACTTGAAACCAAGTGGCTTCGTTTGGAACTCTGGGAAACATTAAGAGAACCATAGGTTAAGCTGAAATGAACTCTGCTTGCAGAGAGGCTCCCTGGAGGCACCTGCAGCTGCAGAGGACTTAGGCTGTGGTGAACCGCTGAGTTCATCTTGTGGGAAGATTATACAGAAGACAGTGGCTTTCTTTTTCTTAATTCAGTTGTGCTTAAATATCTGAATTTGCGTGAAATCCCTTTTTTTTTTTTTTTTTGGGAATGAAGCTAGGAATAACATATTACTTGGTTGCTTTCTACCCAGAATCAATGCTTTTCTTTTACAGCTGAGCAGCAGAGTGGTTTTTCTTCGTGTTATGATTTAATGAAAGGGCGGCTTGAAAATTAAATATCTAATAATACTTCTCTGCTTAGGTCACACGTTTATACAAGTGTTTCCGCTCATCTCAGGGCATAAATCTTTGCTTTAAGTCGGAGATTTCTCGCTGTAAAAGTGGAGGATTCGCCTGGCGAATATAAATTGCTTTACCCGTCTGCCTTCAGATTCCTCGTGAAAACTGCTATATGAGATGCATTTACTTTGACGATTCAACCTAGCATTCTCCTGCATATCATGATTGTTGGAATATTTTATAAGGAGAATTTTAATTAAGGACCATAGATGGAACTTAAATATTAGTAGGTCCCAAAAAAAATTTAAAACTTCAATTCAGTACAGAAAAATTGAAGTGGATATAATTTTAATAATAAAAAGATCAAAATATTTCACTTATTATGAGTTGTAAATGTATTAATATGAGTTGTAAATTACATGTATTAACATGTTAATGATTATATAAGATTTGACATCAATTTTTTAATCACAAGCAATAATATCACTTGTTAATTCCTAACTTTACTTGTTAATTTATTAATAAATTACAAATTGATGTTAATAAATTAACAAGTAAAGTTAGTAAATTAACAACTTGTTTAATAAAGGGATCTAATTTACAACTCATATTAGTAAATTAACAAGTAAGGTAACAAAATTAACAATTAATGATTTTGCATAATAAATGAAGTATATTTTAATCTTTTCACTGTTAAAATTATTTGTATTTCAGTCCTCTTAGACTGAAATAAAATTTTAAAATTTTTTAAGACCCATTAGTAATTAAGTTGCATCTCTTGTCCTTAGTTGAAATTCTCCTTATTTTATAATTTGTGGGTTTTCATTAATTAATTAATTGACAAATTATAAGTTTATGCAATTAATTTAATTAATTATCAAACGCAGATTTGCCTGATATAATATAAGGTGCCTGATTTATTATTCTAATTGAGATCTGGGGATGATTGCATTGTCCATGCAGATTTCATGGCGGAAGTGCTCATCATGCCGATTTTGAAAGTGTTCTGATTAAGGAGTCCTCGATGACATTAATAGGATTTTTTTGGTCAAAGATGACATTAATAGGCTTAGTTAGACTTTTTTAGCTGTGTTTTTCCTCTCAAGCTCTTGCTTACTGTTAATTCCCCAAAAAGAAAAATAATAATAATAATAAAGGATCGCCTTCCACTAAAAATTTTATGGGTCATCAAATTCTGCCATACTTCTTAAAAAATGGCGAGCAGTAGTGGTCATATCATACACTGATGAAGCAGAATGCTTTTCTGAGACTAAGGCAATTCATATATCAGTCACCCTTTCTTTCCAATTCATATATATTAATGATATTCATCTTATTAATAAAGCATATTGTAAAAAAGTAAAGTGCAGATATGATGATGATATTTGTATTTTATCTCCGGAAAATTGCAGCAAGGAGGAGATGACTGCAAAGCGTCGCCGTATTGTGTCCAGAATTGATCTGCTGCCTTTGTTTGGTAAATTGCACCACTCACAAGCAACCCAAATTGTTCAATCTTAAGCACCTCAATCTTACTTTACTTCATACTACTCCATCACATATAATTTAATTTTTGTTTTAATTATGAATGACGTGACTTATTTTTTAACTATCGGAGACACAGTGAGTCAGAGCACGACCCTTAAGTAGATGAAAATTTCCCCCTGTCACGCACGCGCCATCTTGTGCCTTTGAATCTGGTGGGTATCATTCACATTAGTAATGATGATCGTAAAAAATAATTTGAATAATTTTTTTAACAAATACACCTATAATGACATATATTTAAAAATTTTAAATTTTAAAATTGAGGTATTAATATCATATACTCAAAATTATGACATCTTATAATTTTATAAAATTATTGAATATTTATATATATTCATGCCTTAAAGACTATTACTCGAAGAATAAAAATTTAGAATTAAAAAAATAATCATAATTATAATATAATAATTAATCAATTTAATAATATAAAAAATGTGAAATGTGCATATTAAAATTATTTTTTGGATAAAGATAAGTGTTTAAACGATTGTTAAGCAATATTTATGCTAAAGAGGGGATATTTGGATCAAAACAAAATATCAAAACTACCATTTAATGGTCAACTAACTAGTGATAGACCTAGGAAAATTTACTAGAGGGGACAAAAATTTATACTAAATATAAATATTAATATTTTTGAAGAAAATATAATTCTAAATATTAATTAAAATAATATATAAATAAATTATATGAGAAGTTTAAAAATACATAGGTTAAAGTACTTCTTTAATTTTATAAAGTATTTTTTTAATCATTTAACTCTAATACTATTAATTATCAACAAGAAATTTGTACATTAAACTTTTAAATATTAACAATATATTTTCAAATATTGACAGATTAAACTTAATTTTTTAAAATAAAAATAATTTTCATGAAAAATAATCATTCTAATCTAATGATGTTAAGAATTAGATGATTAAGAAGATAATTAAAGAACCAAATTAAAGTTTATATAAAATTAGAGGATAAAAAGTACACTTTAGCCAAGTACATATTATTGTAATTTGTATCATAAGTTTATTTTTATAATGAATGTGAGAGTAAAGAATGTTTTTAAATATGTATGCTTGGTAATTGTAAAGAGAATGTGGGATAATTAATTTTTTATGGGGGCAGTTGTAATTTTAAAGGGGGGCAAATGTAATTTTAATTAAACCTTAAGTAAAATTTTTACTTTTTAAATGGGGGAATTGCCCCCTCTATATTAATAGTTGGATGGTTGAAAATATAATTTTAAAATTAGAAGTAAGGCTTGTGTAACATGTATTTTGATTTTAAGAGAGGTCTATATAGATTTTCAAAATAGAATAAGGTCTTTGTAATTTAAATTAAATAGAGGGAAGTTAATGTAGTTTACTCTTACACTATTACAAGATAGGCTTTTAATAGCAGGTTAAAAATACTTTTAACATCAGTTCATGCCATAATCAATGTTAAAAGCCTAACATCAGTTATGGCATGAATCGATGTTAAAAGAGGTTTTAAAAAAATTATTTTGCTTTTAGTTGTTTCCTCAATTTCTACAAATAAAAATATTCTATACAATTTATTACCAGCCAGCCAATTCAACTACATATAAATAATTCAAATTTCAATATAATTCTATAAAAATTACACAAAATTCAAATTATCTTATACAATTTCTTAAAACACTACCTAAACCTTACATACCATCTACAAAATATTGCACCCAACGTGTGAGGATGTCATCAACCTCTTCCTCAAAAAATGAATCCGCAATATCAAACATTTATATTAAAGTATAAAATTATAATTAAAACATTAACTAATTAATTCAAGTAACAATAAAATTAGCTTTTAAAAAATATAGTTACCTCATTTATAAATTCAGTCATTTTTAATGTGATGATGTTGAGCATGTGCCTCATCACATACGCCACACGAACTACTCTTCGGTGATTGCTTGTGACTCTATATAAAAACATATATATATATATATATATATAACAATCGGGAATTAGTAATAAATATTAACAATTGAATATGTTAATAAAGTGTTAGTTTTAACTTACCTTTGGCTCAATCCATGTAAGATTCTTTAGTTTATGTGGGTGCTTTTTCAAGACCATCATTTGATATATTTTCATTGCCCTCTAATCAACATCACAAGATTTGTAACTAATATATCCGTAAAAATTAATAGTTTTTTTACAAGTACACTTACGAGTCTATCATTTTTTTATGTCCTTGTTTGGTTTGTAATGAAGGAAACATAAGAAGAGGACTGTGTTACTCTTCTATGAAAGAACAATCAGTTGCTTGTGGTTTCTATAAAATATAGTGAGATATCAAAAGAAGTCTACATTTAACAAAAAAATTGTCAATCGTAAATTGATCCTTACAAAGGCACATATGAAGCTATGAAAATATCCTTTTTAACTTCACATATTCATTGTTGGAGATACCAGGATCTTATTTCAGGAGTATTCTCTTTTTCCGTCATGCGATGAGGGCAAAGAAATCCAAAATGATCACCTTTGTCCAATGTAATACATAAACGATGGAGGTACCTGCGATAATGCAATTATGTTAGTTTGATTGATCTTGATAAGTTCATTATATTTAAGTAAAACATACTTAAACATAAGTATGGAGGCCTAGAGGGTGATGAGAGGGGAGTAGGGGCGAGGGTCGAGGGAGAAGGGGCTACAGGGTAAGGGAAGGGGTCTTAGGGTGGGGGGGCGATAGGGGAGGCGAGGGGGGGCCAAGAGGAAGTAGGGGAGGGGGGTCAAAGGGGGAGAAGTGAAGGAGGAAGAGGTGTATTTGGTGAAGAAGGAAGAAGATGAATAATTAAAAAGGGGAGTGGGGGTGGGTTTAGAGATAAAAAAAATTTGAAAAATTTTCAACAGTAGGTGGTACTCCACCAGCTGTTGAAAAAGCACCTTAAACCGCTGTTGAAAGACTACTTTCAACAGCGGGTGAAATTCACCCGCTGTTAAAAATATTTGTTTTTTTTAAAAAATCTTTAACGAGCTTTCAACAGCAGGTGTAGTGCACCTATTGTTGAAAGAACTTTCAACGACAGGTGGATTCCACCCACTGTTGAAAGTGTTTGTTTTTCTTTTAAATTTTTTTAATGAACTTTCAACAATGGGTATACAAACTTTTAACAACAGGTGGAATCCACTTGCTGTTAAAAGTTTTTGTTTTTTTAATTTTTTTTTAATCAAGCTTTCAACAGCAGATGCATGGAACCCGCTCTTAAAAGTGTTTGTTTTTTAAAATATTTTTAATGACCTTTCAACAGCAGGTGCCCTCCACCCACTATTGAAAGTGAACTTTCAACAGCGATTGGTGTCCACCCGCTGTTGAAAGTTGTTTAAAATTATAAAAATACCACTACCTTTACTTTCAACAGTGAGTGCATGTTAATCAACGTTAAAAGTCACCTATAAAATTCAAATTCTGCATTAGTGTTACTTTAATTAATGGGATACTTATGGCAGTGAGTTAGTATGATTAAAGGACTTGTTATCTATAATGTAACAAATGAGCCTAAAAGTTCTACCAGACAAAGCTTATTTGCATTTTTAACCAATTTCCTGAATTAATTGACACATAATGATTTTATATTTAATATTTATAACAAAATAACTAATGTCTAATATTTGACTGAAAGTAATATTCGTAAAGCCATGTGATGGTGTATTCAAATACCTTCCTTTTTAACTTTTTAAGGGTTAAAGCATAACTCTCCGAGAAAGGATCAAAAACTTGAATAGCCGAATTCTTCTGGAGAGCGGCCGACCCATTAAATGAATATCGATGGCTCAGGTTTTTGTAAAAGAAATATATTTTGGAGTTTCGGCTGCAAGTTAAAATTGAGAAAAATATAATATTTGATCTCCAAATTTATCATCAATTTGGGCACGCCGTGTAGTCAAACAAGAACTTGGGTAGTGCCCCTTTATATAGGTTTTCATAAAAGAATTAGTCCGTGAAATTATGATTAATGTTCTTGGATCGAATTGATGTGGTGTTTATATGATAACATTGTTTGATAACAATATCAACATTGACTAAGCTCAAATTTGGAAATTGGACCAAATTAAACTTGAATATTAATAGCATCGTTGATGTCCCTAACACGAGCATGCATGCTGGGAGTACAAAAGTCCATCATATCGAATAATGATCATATCAACACTCGCGAAGCAAAGTGCATCATTATATATATCTGTGACTGAGCCAATGTCTCTGTCACCCATTCTCTCCGATTTTTTTTTTTTAATAAAACAAACACCCCCCGTCCAAAATAAAAAATATTTATGATATTTATCATATTAATAAATCATAATGTAAAAAGTAAAAAAGCACATATGAATGTGTGATGATGTCATTTGAATTTTAGGCAGGGGTGGAACCAAAAAATTTTATTAGAGGGGGCTGAAATGATAAAACATATATGATAATAAAAAAAATTAAATATATATATATATATATATATATCACTAACATAACATAAATATTTTAATGTATATATTTATATTTAATTATATATATATATACACCTTCATTTTTTAAGATTTTCTCATTAATTTTTCATTGTATAAGAATAATTAATTATCATATCTATGATAAAATTTTTTAAAATTTTATTTTCAATATAAACTATTATTCAATTGGCAAAGATTTCATTTTTCTCATAAACATTAAATAATTTAAATACATCATTGGGATATAAAATTATGCTCAATTTAAAAAACTTTATTACTTGCTCACTAAATTTACTATTTAATTCTTTAGGTCGATAAGATCTAAGTATGTCATAATAAAAATTATTTATAATAATTCTCATAATTTCATTTATTAAATATAAAATGAAAAGAAAATTAAATGACATTAATACTTTAAGAACAACTATAACATTATTTTTTAAAAAATAAATAAATTTTATGATAACTATATCTTTAAACTATTGAAATAATTAGACCACAAATACATAAAAGACTATGACTTGAAATGAGAATTTCATTTATTATTTTAAAATTTTTATAATATATTAACTTAAGAGGACTCTAAGTGTATAATTCTTACATTTTATTAAAAAAAAATTAAAAGGTTAGAGAGGGCCATGACCTCTGCTGCTGGTCCTTTCCTTTCTCTACCATAGGTGCACTGTACGGTAAAGTCTCCTCCGAAGTTTTGCGGTGGTATTCTTCCCAGGATTGTGCTGCCTTTGCTTTGTCAGTTGCAGATTCTGCAATAGCCTGTCGTACCACTCACAATCAACCCAAATGTATCAGATCCTTTACATCTCAATCTTACATTCTCACTATATTTAATCCTTCATAACATGATGCAAGGTTAAATAATAATTTTATCTTTAAATTATAGGTTTATAGACTTTTGAAATCTGAATTTATTTTTTACACAATGTTTTCTTTTAAAATTTGAAAACAATGCAATTAATGTCATCTCTAACGCTAATAAATATTAACTTTGATTGTTAGCTGATTAAAAAATTATAAAAAAAATATAAAAAATTATGAGAAAAGAATCTCAAGAACTATAAAAAAGGACAAAAAATTAGAAATTTTTATATGTTACTTATTTGTAATATTGACTATTTTTTGTAATTTTGAGTTTTTTATGTATTTTTTGATTAACTAAATGTGAAAGGTAACTTTTATTAATGATAAGGGCGATATTATAGTACTGTTTTTAAATATTGATGGGAAACATTATATCAAAAATGAGTTAGGGTTTTAGACATTCTTGAAATCATAATTTGAGAATAAAATTACCCTTTAACACTAACACATAATTTAATTATTTATAAATTACAAATATCATGACTTTTTGTTTTTAACTTCAAGACATTTTTAACTGTAAGAGGGAGGGGGAGAGGGAGAGGACAAACCTTGAGAAAATAAACTTTTTCCGGCGGCAGATCGGCCATCTGGTGGGCATCATTCACATTGAACAACAATAATAATAAAAGAATCATTTAATTAAATGAACAAGTTATTAATGGAATAACAACCACCGGTCTAGAGCGAAAGTAGTCCACTTACATCCTTCATTAGGTCCTGAATGGTTTCTTTCGCTTCTTGGTATTTCCCCTGTTCATCAAGAGAGCAGGAATTAAAGCTTAAGAATTAAAATTATGAAGGAGATTAAAATTAATGCCATCATATCTATGTATATCTTCTATGTATCAATTTGTCAGTTTTCAAACGTGGAGGTCTCATTTGCTTACTAAAATAAAATGAAATAAATTAAAAAATTAAAATTAAAATAAACTAAATCATCCTTTTCTTTGCAGTGAAGGTAATAAACTCATCAACATATACTACAAATGTGAAAATTATCATATCCTCTCAAACATTTATGAATTATAATTTCTAACCTCTTAAACTAAATTACTCTCCCCTTATAAATGTGCTCACCTATCCCTTTTAATCATTTAATTTTTTTTAAATCAAATTCATTTTATTTCTTTTTAATAAACAAACAGACCGAAATTTGTTATCAAACAATGGTTGTCAAAACGCAGAGAAGATTTGGCCAAAAAAACAAAACAAAAAAAAAATCAAAAAACAAAACGAAGCGAAGAGAACGAAGATGCAGTAAATATTACAAATTATTTGAAACTGGTAACTGATTCATATCCTTAAAAAAATTAGTTGAAACTTTAATCTTTTAAAAAAATTTCATCTTTTCAATTATACTCTTCTTTAAGGCCTCATCTGTTTTAGCTTTTTTTTTTAAGAGAAAATAACTTTTTTTAAAAAAATACATTTCATGAATTTTGTATGATACTTGTCTAAACTTTTAAAAATAATTAGAATTTAGAAAAAAACAAATATATAATTATTTTAATAAGATAATTTGACTAACTTCTGAAAATAATCTTATAGACGAAAGAAAATTTTTTAAGAACATGGAATACACGAAGATGTCATTAAATTTTAAAATAATTTAGTAATAAATAATTTTTATAAAAATTCAAGGAATATATTATAAAATTTAGAAATAAATAACTAATAATTATTTTTATTATTGTAACTGAATATGAAATAATATCTGTTTTTTATAAAATATCTAAATTATCTAAAAATTATTTATTTTTAATTTCAAACAAAGGGCCCTAAATATCTTTTATAAATATCCTAATAACGACAATTGAAATTTTAATACATAATTTTTTTAAAAAAAGAATAATAGATAAAGTAGAGGTATAATTGACAAAATAATTATAAAAATTATTTAGTGTTCTTTATTTTGATCCAAGCAAAACATTAAAAATAAAGAAAGGTATTTAGCAGGCGAAAATATAATAATGATATGAATCCACTTCCATTATTTCAAGATGCGGGCACACGCAGGTGAGAGGGAGGAGAGGGGTTAACCTGATACAAGAGCAATTCAATGAGCGCGACTTTGAGTTGGTTTGAACTGGACGTGCCCTTCCACTTATTACATTCACACCTCATTATTGACTCCGCTGCATCTTTGCGCCCGTTCTGTGATAGAGACATTGCAAACAGCTACACCCACAAACACATATCAACCCGTTATATAATCATCATGTTCTTACATTGCTCTCTCTCGTTTGTTTAAATGCCGCAGTGGGCTCCACGGGGTTTTTCATTCTCTATCAAGCCAATCTAATCATAATTTGATTAATTCAGTAGAAAGTTTCGAACCTTGAGGTTTTCAATATCACTTCTTTCAGGTTCCTCTGTGTTGAAATTGCTCGTCAGGCTAAGCACAGGACCTTGGCTTCGATGTTGCGTCGAAGCAGCATAGGCTAAATTGGGCTTGGTGTTCATCTTACCACTGAGTTGAAGGCCCCAAGAACACAAGCCAGCACTAGAGAAGCTCTTCCCGCTCCTCTCACTATATTGTTCTTCCCGTTCTCCTCTTTCATCCTGGACCCCTCTGAGAATCTCTCGACCTCGACCGTACACTTCACATATGATGGACGTGAAACCAAGTGGCTTCCCTTGGAACTCAGGGAAACACTGAGAGAGCCGTGGCTTAAGCTTATGTGAACTCTGCTTGCAGAGGAGAGACGCCCTGGAGCCACAGGCAGAGGGCTTTGGCATGTGCGGATTGCGGAGTTCATCTTATGGGAAAACTACGAAAGACCCAGATTTTTTTTTTGTATTCAGTCGTGCTCAAGTTAACATCCTTCTATTCTATTTATATCCCAGTCTCTGCTATGCTGATACCGTTGCAAGACATCCTTTCTAGAATGAAGCAGGTATAAGTTATTGCTTCATTGCTTTCTACCAGAATCAATGCTTTGAGAGGCTCACGACGTATACTCCTTTTGGTTTTTTCTGTGGCTCCAACATTTTCACACGAAGAGCGTCAATGCTTTGTATCGAAGGACAAAAAAGTTATTCTTAGCTGTTTGCCTTCATATTACTCAATAAAAATGCAATATATGACAGCTTTTTCTTTTACAACTGATCAGCAGTGTAGTTCTTCTGCATGTTATAATTTTAATCAGAGAACTTGAAAGTAAAAATCTGAAAAATATTGTGTTCGGGTATGTCCGGTAAGAATACTTCTCTGGTTATCACAGTGACAATAT